TTGTTGTTGTTATGACTGAGCTTTCTCTCTGCATTTTAATTGGTGATCCTCAATGGATCACCACAGGAAAGCGGTTTAAAATTAACTTTCTCTCCCTCTCCCCCTCTTTAGGTGTTACTTGAATTCTCTGGGTTTTGTTAGATTGTATTCCAGTCAGATTTCACTCAGTTTATTACTTTTCAGATTGCTCTCATTGAAGAGCTTAAATGGCTAGATGATAAGGTTTGAAAATTAAAACAGTACTATCGAGTCTTTTCTGTTCAGCAGCTGTACTTCTCATGGGAATAGGATAAAAAAAAAGCACTTGTTGATGCTGTTGTTACTTAAGTTTCTCCCTGAATACTGAGCAAGCTTGTCGTGAGGTATCACTAGACCCTTAGCCTAGTATTCCTGTATTCAATTACAACATTTTGATACTTGGAAGGAAGAGTAAACTCACTCCAAATCTGTTGGCTCACTTGAAATACTTGTATATCATGCCATTTCTAGGAAGCATGAATTGACAACAAGCAAATAAATGAGGTACTAGCTAGCTGTAATTGAAAACAGGTGTATGAGTTTTAAAAACAGGTTTCCTTTACAAATACCATGTGCTGTTCAATTTGTGTTACTTAAGACTACTACATTTGGTTCATCCAAATATCCCATATAATTATTTTCTAAACCAATAGGATTACGCTTCTACAGTACAAAGGACAAGTGCATTGGTGCCTCATAAACACATTGGTAAATGTATACCAGTTAGTGTAATCTCAGCTGGATGGAGTGGAAGGCAGGGCCTGCTCCAGGACTGGCTACTGCTTATTCTTGACAGAGTTGAGACCAGGAAACAAGTAGATATTTGCCAGTCCATTGCATTCAGAGCAGACCAGAAGGAAGATCAGGATGGGCTCTCTGCAGTTACCTCAGCCTTCTGAAGAACAAGGCAGAATTTTGATTGGAGATCAATTTTAAATAAGTTGACTGTTTTTTCTTGGGTTTCATTTAGGTTATGAAAACCTACCCTCTAGTGCTGAGGTGGAGTTTCCAAAAGCACAGAAATTGTCAACTACCTATTTAATTTTAGGGTAGAGGTACAAGTCTGTCCGTTGTTTCTGCTCTGAAAGATGGCTCCTAACCAGTGACAGAAGGTTTTACAGATGGAAGGCAAATGCTCTGACTCACACACTGGAGGCAGTAACCTATTGAGCTTTACCTGCTTCTATGTTAACCTTCCATGGAAAATTCACACACAGACTGAAGCAGGGATGAATCAGATGCTGAAGCTGACCAGCTTACAAAATAGCATGTGAAAGTAAACTAGCATTAGAATATATGGACAGGGTGGGTCAGGGAGCTGAGCCTGTGAGCCATTTCAGCTTATTCAAATTCATGAGTGAAAGCTCCAAGACAGTGTCCACCTTTCTTTTGTGGAGAGGCTGAAACATCACTTGCTGTTAGTAACATCTTTTCCCACTATTTGAATGCTAAATGTGCTTTCAATTGTGAAATTAAAAAAAAAAATAAAACTGTAAGCTGTGACTTGCATAGCATTGCTGTTCTTCCCAAACAATATTTCTTTTTCTTTCTTTTTAAATTCCCAGAACCGCAGAGCTAAGTGATGCGTATATAAAAAGTACACCGTTGTTGATACACCGTGGCCTTGAAGATGCACTACTCATCGAGAAGAAATTCAGGACTCTAGTTGTTTTGCATGTGTGGCAAAAGTGCTTTTGATATAAATGACATAATTTTATAGTCACAGCAGCTGTAGCAAGGAACATGTGTGTTTGCCCACATGTGATCTTTATTTTCTTTTGTTATGGTGTATATGGGATGGTTGAGGGTGAGACTATAAAAAGCACTGTTTGCCCAGTACAGAGTCTCCCTGCAGTAATCCTTAGTGGTATTATTTTCAAAAACTATCATTAGTCACTGCTTTGATAATGGGCCTGCTGAGCCCAGAAATTGCAATACCATTTAGACTATTGTTTTCTTTATTTGTGTGCATGGACAAAGTATGGTTTATGTGTATGATACAAGCAGGAAGTAGAGATTGTACAAATACATCTTTTCTGACATTCAGCAAATTTTTATTAAAGAAATACAAAGTTAGTCACAAAGTTGCATAAGTACAAAGTTTATTCCCAGCTCTCTTGAAATTATTAACAAAGTTCTAATTCCAGGAGATGTTAGTATTGCTCTCTGTGGACAGTAGTCATGTGTGCTCTGGTGGCTGATATTTTTGTCCAGTGAGAGGGCTCTCCGTGCCTCCTCTGTACTCTTTGATGGGAAACTGCTTAGCTGTTGGAGCCTAATTCAGCACTGGAATTACAGAGCACAGGAGCTGGTAATCTTAATGCTGAATGTGGTTCTTGTGTGTGTTCATGTTGTGCAGTGTGTGGAATTGGAAGCAATTGCAGGCTTTCTTAACTCAGTGAATTTGTGAAAGTCGCGGATGCTTCATAAAAAATAGAAGTTTCCTATTTAGTATATTTTTGACAGTTTAAAACCTTGTTTTCTTGAATGGAAAAAAGCTATATAATTTCTGGCCCAGGTTTGTGTTGCTGCCATTACATCACAAATATATAGAATAAAAAGTAGGAAGAGCTGATGAGTGATGAGGAGTGAAGAAGCTCAGTTTCTGTATATATATCTAATGATATGGTTAAAAATCAGTTTACTAGGACTTGCACATTCCATGAGATTCTGCTATGTTTTACAGCTATTTTGAGAGTTGTTCCAATATAGCTGGCTGCTCTTGGACTTTGCGTATGCTTTGTAGAAATCTTGACACTGTTTCCTGTTTGTACTAAGGTACTGTATTTCAAAGGCACACATGGTTTTCTCCTTCTAACAATTTAAAACTTGGTTTGGAAAGCTGTTGCCAAACAGTCACGTAATAAAATCCATGTTTTTAAAGATCCTGAGTAATTTGGCAGTTCTCAGAATTGAATGTTACAAACCAAGGTTCATATCCATTTTGTGGGTGCATGTTGCAGGGATTTGGGTCTCTGCACGTCGAACTCCGAGTCACATTAAGAATTTAACAAAGCAAAATTGAGGTGTTGTATTTTACAGTAGGTGCTGTCATAATCGTCCCTCTTGCCAAGGCTGCAGGATTGAGCCATTTAAAGCAAGGTATGGGCCAGCCCTCACTGGGATCAGTGGAACTGAACACAGGGAAGAGGGTCACCCATGCAATAAAATGTGGGAGAAACATATATGGCTCTCGTTTACTATCCTACTTTGCCAGTGGGAGTATTCACGTAAGGTTGGAGCTCTTACAGATGAATCTTTTGGTGCAGGTTTTTCCATAATCTCAGTGATACCGAACTAAAGATGGGACATGGTTCTCCATTACAATTCAATATAAACATTTTTCCAATTTAGTATTGTGCAGTGCTCCCTATTTATAACTAGTGATTCCCTCTGTCAAGTTGAAAGTCTTAGCAGCAGAGGAATAAAAAACCAAATTAACTGGAATTCTGTTGAGGTATTCTGCCTTATAAAAACAATTATGTATAATAGCTTTATGTTCATTTCTCTAAAGCAAACTGCAGCAGAACCCCGCTGTGTCACCGTGGGATCAGGCGGAGCTGTTCCTAGGAATTGTCAAAACCTGAGGAGCTCAGTGGCTGGCTATGTGCTGCAGAATCGTGGCCCCAGAAATGGGAGAAACCCACCATCCTGTTGCATTAAGGGCTGGATTTCTTGTAGGTGGGAATTTAAAAGTGAGAGTTCAAAAAGTCATTGGTACACCTGGCCAGCCCTTTCCCACCAGTAATTTAAACCAAAGTTGTTCATAACTGTATGCTTTCATTTGTGTGTGTACATATGTGTGATATATAAATATATAGACATTTTAAATATCTATAGATCTATAGTCTTTACCCAAGAAACTGTTTTTATTTATGAAACAAAAATTATTTTGTAAATATTGTGCTAATATTCTTTAAAAATAAAGTAATTTTAAGTTGTTTTTGCAGGAGATTTTCTTGTTGCTAGCACATTGAACTTCTGTAGCTGCTTCCATAAATTCATAGTCATAGCTGCTCTTCTCCCTGTCTTTATGTATTACTTACTGGATCTGCAGGAATGTTATCAGGGTTACATAGGCTGCAGCAGATGATTTGGGGTGTTTCTCCTTAGAAGGGTCATCCAGGTGGTAAAGTGAGTGTGTAGGCTGCCTGGTAATGACTTCAGTTGTGCTCTCCAGCATCAGCCATCAAGTGCATCAAAGTGCTCCCAGTGTGGTGTGGGAGGAAACGAGGAGTAACAAGCTGCTGCCGCCACTGTAATTACAGAAATAGCAGTGCAGCACCTCTCTTCAGTCCGTCTTTGTAGCCCTGCAATGGTATTTCTGTGAGAAGAGGATCCTTTGTGTTACTGCTGAAGCACTGCTGGATGAGTTCTGGATTTCCTGAAGTTGTCTTTAAAGTTCATTTGACTGCGGAGAGAGGGAGCTGCAAGTTGTGCCTGGTAGGTTTTCCACTCACACATCCTCTCCAGTGCAGCTGAGCTGATAGGAACAGTGGAAATTATTGGTAATTCCCTTGTTTGTTCAAGGTGACTTTTAACTGTGGCTGTTGAACTTCAGTGTCTCTGCAGAAATGTTTTGTGACTTCTCTAGATACACTTTCCTCTCTAAAGAAGCCATGGACCACAATTTGAGCTATTAAAACAATTTTAACACTTCTAGAATTTTCTGTGCAGAGACCCAACTGCAGGGTGAACTGCAGGCTCAGGAAAACTGGTCTTGAAGCTCAGGAAAGCTGCATGCTTGAATTTCGGGGTGTGAGAAATGGTGCTAATCTAAATGTGTGTGACTGGAGAATATCAACACAGTACCATCAGTGACACTCAGTACCTGTGATCCAGACTGCTCCAGCCAGTTCAAGCAGGAAAACCAACCCAGATGTGAGCTTCCAGTCCAGAAGCCTTCGGAAAGCGCTTGATCAGAGCTCCTCAGTTCAGCAGTTGCTACCAAGTTACCTGCCTAAGAGTAGAGGTGGGCAGCCTCTGGTTCATTTCCACTTTGCAGAAGAATTTCTATTTCTTTCCTATGGAAAATAATGCTTTTGTGCTCTAGTGCTCTGTGCCTTTGTCATAGATGCAGCCAGTACTGTCTTGGACTTCAGCACTTCCTTGCTTCCTGTATCCTTGAGCGTTCTTGCAAAGCTTTCAGGATGAAAAAGTGTGAGCTGGGCTTCCTCTGGTTTCCGTGTTGCTTCCCTACTGTGCCTGCGGCAGCAGCGCAGCAGGGGTAGGGCATGGCCTGGGAGGTGCACCCCAAACCCTTCACTCTGCAGCTGGGCTGTGGGAAAAGGACAAGGAGTACTCAAAAAGTACAAGAGAAGGGCAGAACCAGACTATTTTTCAATGAAATGATGAATTGTCCAAAAAAATTTAATACACAAATGTAAATAGCACGGAGACAAGGATCATCTGCTCTGGGGGAGGAAAGCTGCAGTGTTGAAACAAATTTTGGTTTCTTCTGTTCTTTTGCTTTTTTTATAGACCACAGACAGGAGGCTTTTGAAATTATTGGGCTGGAGAGTGGGTGCTGTGAAGGGAAGAGAGAGTCTGCCATGAATACAAGTTTGGTGGGAGAATTAAAGAGCATAGGGACTTCAAATTTGCCAGAAGAGTGTGAACAGTTTCTCCTAACATTGCTAAAATTGGTACTTTTGGACCCTCCAGAGTTTTGGGACTAATTTTGTTTCTTCGCTGAAAGGGTTGTCAAGCACTGGAACAGGTTCCCCAGGGCAGTGGTGGAGTTATTGGATGTGGCACTCACTGATACAGTTTTGTTGACAGGGTGGTCTTCAGTTAAAAGTTGGCCTTGATGATCTTGGAGGTCTTTTCTGACCTTAATAATTCCATTATTCTGTATAGTGCTGCTGTCTGCATGTGACCAAGCAGCTGAGCACGTGGAGGTCCTTGGGGATGTGCAGTTGTCACATGAAGTCAGACTCTACCTCCACACCTCAGTGATGTCCCCTGGGCACAGCAACTGCTTTGTGCAGAGTAAGGTCTGGCACACCTTCACCTTGAATTAAAGTACTGAATTTTACTGTCATTCACAATTTATGTACCTGCAGATTGTGAAAGATTCTGAAACTCCTCTAGTAATTAGTCTTCCCCCTTTCCTACCCCATCCCACACCCTCTCTGCCTTTCTTTTAAGGCTTCACAATAGGTGGGTGCAGGTTAAACTTGGAATGGTTACCAGACCTGGGGAAAAACAAAGGATACAACATTTTTCAGAATTTGGCTTGAGGGTACTTGTATTTGGTTGCATTAATTTAACTTTCCTTTTTTTCTTCCAGAAGTGCTGCAGGAATTGCTTTTAGAGCAAGAACATTTGATTGTATTTTTTTCTGTGTGAGAGCAGTATTCTTTAATAAACTAGGTACTTGGGAAAGAGGGAAAAAAACCCAACCCAACAAATCAATTGAAATCCACTGTAGTGTTAAACAGAAGGTTCATCCAAGGACAAATGGAAGTTCAGACAGCAGTAAGGAGAAAAGGGACATTTAAGATCTATTAATTGCAATTAATTTCATTTAAGTTTGAGCACAGCCAAACTTAGTTTCACTGAAGAAAAAGGTAATCAGGTTTCTCTGGCATTTTGTACTAATTCATGTCAATGAAAAAGAAAATTCACCTATTGAAGGTGAAGTAAAGGCACTGTTCTGTGCAGAGCTCTGCCAGGTATGGGAGTTAGCCTAAGTAGAACTTGAAAGCTTTGATTTGTCCTACGTCAAGAAACACTGAGAATTTAAGGATCAAAATAAAATGTTATAAATTCTAATTAAAGGAGCCCAGCATGGAAATAGATTCCTTTGTATCCTGCACTGTAATTGCAAAACAGGTCTTGAGAGAAAGTCACTCTGTAGCTGGAGTTAAGAATGAATATGGAGCCAGGCACCTACTGTTCTAGGAAGTTTGTGAGGTTTTGGCTGGCACAGATGAGCAAGTACCACTGTAAGAACCTAAAATATCCTCACCTGGTCTGTAGGTAGGAAAAAAGTTTTTTTTGGTAGAGTGAGCAAGCTGAAAACTACAGTGATGTTATTTAATGTGACAGTGTACAGGAGTGTGGGTTTAAAAGGTGGTTATGGGGAGGAGGGCAATTGTTTTGTCTGTACAGTACCCCTTACCTGCCCTGTCCTCTGATGCTGTGGCCACTGGCCAGCCTCATCCCAGCAGGAGATTGGGTAGGGGGCACTGGGGCCCTGCTGCCTTTGCCTCCTGTGCCCCCCTGGGTGCCTCCTGCACCGCTGCCACAGCAGCAGCGCGGCCGCTCCTCCCACCATCAGGGACAGGGGGAGGTGCAGCCCCTCCTGCCTCCAGCAGGGGCCAAAGGAGCTTCCACGAAGAGGATGAGTGGGAAGAGGGGAATGGGTGCTCAGCAGGGCCTTGGAGCTGGGTATTAGATGTGGCACCCTACCACCCTTGCAGCTCTGTTTATGTAACAAAGGTGATGCCTTGATACTGCCCTAGCTCTGTTAGGTTGCGCTTCCTGCTGCCCTTTTTACCTCATATCAGTTCTCTGGGAATTATGTAAACCAAATAGCAGTGGGCAGCTGGGGAATAAAATCACCATATCCTGAACCATGAGGGAGCTGTTGGCATTTGCAGTGGTGGTACACCAGAACATCAAAGCATAAACAGCTTTAAATGTGTTACTGAACAGGAAATGAAGCTGGTTGCAGCATCAATGAGGAAGTACACTTAATGTGAGATAAAATACGTCATGACTCTGGCAGTCACAGGGAAGGTGACAGAGGAGAATGTGGTTCCTGTCCCCCAAGGCCAGCTAAAGGAGTTACATCTATTTCGTTGGTGACAGTGTGAGCTCTTGGCATGCTCTGTGGTGCACTAATAGCAGTGCATGTCAAAGGCAAGGAGGGAAAACATGATAA